TAGGTGGCGTCTTCGATGTACCCACTTTTTTGGGTGCATTCAGTGCACTCGCTTCATAACCGTCATTTTAAACATGCGATTTATGTCAAAATGATGTCAATCATCACTTATTATGTGATGAACAATAACACACATGTATTTGCACAAAAATCATTGAAGATTTACTTTATTTTGAAGGATTTAGAGTTTAGAGGTTAGGGTTAGGGTTAGGGTTTACAATTTGGGGTTTAGGGATAGAAATCAAAATTGGAGGTCTAGGGCTTAGGAGTAATCCGCTAATTAGTTGTTATCATATGTTATATCAGCATATTACACTAATTCTACAAATTAAAATTCAAAATCCGACACCTTAAGACTAGTTTTTGAGTTGGATGCATTGAACGCATTCATATTTGTGAGTGCACCGAAGTAGTCACCTCCTATATATGTGACATGCATCTTGAATTTCATCAAATACAAGATTACATCTTTGTAAGTGCCTACTACATTGGTTGGTGCAATCATTTACAATTGCATATTGAATTCCAGGTAGGATTTGCTATTGATCAAATACAGATATATCATATATGGATGATTTTATGGTAGAAGACAGATGTGGCCATCGATATAATTGCAGAAGAATATGCATCTCTTTGCAACCCGAACATAAGAGTATAAAATTACCTAAGGATGGTGGAGATGGTAAAGGCGTAGGCTTAAATTTTGGAGGTCATGGGTTCAAATTTAACCGTTCTCCACCATCCAAAATTTACCAAAGCATGGCGCCGACGATGGGACCCATTGGAATTTGGATCAGACAAGCCGGAGAGGAGACAATGAAAAGAAATCCCTTGGTTTCATGGAAAAATTAGATTCTCCTCTAGCAGATAAAAACGAATATCAACCAAGGAAAACCAAAGCTCCTCCGGTCACCGCCATTTATGTTTTGCGGACAATGGCGGGTCAGGGATGAGATGACCCTCCTCGCTCGCAATCCTACCCCTCAAATCTCAGCAAGCTTACTGAGAAATGTCCTTTTCCAAAGACTTTTCAAACCTTCCTCCATTTCCTTCCACCCTGCAGTTCATAACTGGAACGAAATTACAAACCTTGGACCGCCCATATCTCGCACATTCCTCCTTCAGTCCAACACACACCTCACATTCTAGAAAGCTATCTCATCAATAGAATATCGACATTAGCAGACTTTTCCACAGCATCTCATCAAAGGGCCTGTGCTGTGTGCTATCATCTGATATGATTGGAAATGAATCACAGTGCTGAGTTTCAGCGATATCAGCTAATCAAGCATTCACCACACAGTCAGCTGCATCAGCATTGCCTGGTTTCTCATATCCTAATTTGCAAATATAAATTCAAACTCAAGGCTATGGAGACGCCTTATGATCCACAAAGGCTAAAGGAATTTTTAAACGGGTTAACCAATATCTCATCCTGAAAATGAACACACTGCATTCTTGTCACAACTAGTCACCGGCTAATTTGTAAGAATAGAATGGAGTAATTAGTCAAAGACATCAAGGGAAGTAGGGTACATTGTTCATATCATACCATATCATATGCATTACCCTTTAACTTAATGGGTTGGATGCTTGTTGGTCAGAACAAATGTCGCGAGATCCATCGAGGTCTTGGCCATATCCTCAAAGCTTGAAATCGGGTTGCGATGAACCAGCTAGAGGAGAAGCATCACTTGGTTTTGATGAGCCATCTAGAGGAGAAGCAGCACTTGGCATCCTGCATTTCATCACCACACCTTCGAGTATCCCGTCCCGGTAAGTAGGAACAAAGAGCCTTGGTTCAACCGGTCCAGGCAACTTAAACCCAATCCGAACGGTCCCGCTGGGGCAGAGTTCTTCAACCTTGAGCATGAATTCTCCAGGGAAGCTACCCAGAAAATCTGAAGTGGGCGGCCGTACCCCTTGTATTTGCACAGATCCATCTCGCTGGATCCTGCATTTCACATCCCCTACACCAAAAATGGCGAATTTTTTTTGTTTATTCAGCGCATTTCTAACAGATTGATCTGGAGTTCATTATTTTTAGGTCACAGCCTAATTATATACAGATTGAGCAGGAGGCAGTCAACAAAATTGATTAGATCGCAGCCTAATTTATCCTCTCGTTCTTCAATCTTCCAGTGACCCTATGGGAACGAACGAGTAAAGCAGTACTGATTCGAGTAGCTGGGGAAATGGGGGAAAAATAACTGACCGTGATTTTTGCGGACGCCAGGAAGTGTTACCCGGAAGAGGTAAGCTTCGTGGCTGACTCCTATGTCGACGGAACCCAGTTGCGGGCCTGCTCTGCCTTCAGAGGCGGTTCCTGTTATAGTCACCGTCGGCTTGAACTCCGGGGCGCCGGGATGTTTGAGCGCATCCATCTACAAAGTGTCACCATTTCAATTGCTAAGCAGTAGGAAAATTCTACTTACAAAAATAGTAGTCAACGATTACTCAAACAGCCGATTCTCACAGATCGCAACAACACTAGAGAGAGAGTTGTTGATCGGAGATTGTGGAAGAAGCCAAAGTCGGGAGCTTGCAACCGGCGGCGAGATGCTGAAGTCTTGAGAGAGGGGAACAGAGGGAGACCGGCGGCATACTAAGAAAAGTAATACGCGGTCGAGTCCAAGTAAAATGCGGTCTGTGGGCCGAGGCCCAGCTGCTCGGCCCAGTGTAACGACAATTTTTTGATTATTTATTTATTTTTAATCCAGCCGTTTACACACGGTGAAAGTGAAGGGTAGACGACTAGACGTTCTTATTCGAGAACTCCAGTCGTCGGTGCTGGGATTCAATTCCGAAATAAGCTGGTAGATAAATTAGCTTAAGCGATCAATCGAAGAATCTAAGAAGATGCACTTGAGCGAGAATGAAGGGGTAGAAGGCAAAGTGTTCGTAGTCACCGGCGGTTTGGGCTTCGTGGGTTCCGCCCTCTGTCTCGACCTGGTTCGTAGAGGAGCTCGCCAAGTTCGCGCCTTTGATCTCCGAACCAATTCTCCCTGGTCTGATTCTCTCAGCTCCAGAGGTGTCAAATGCATCCAAGGTAAATTCCCACAACCCATTTTCCCTATGTTGTGAAAGATCGCCTCTTTCATTTGCTGTCTCATTCAATCTGGTCAATCCTCTAATGAATGTCATCATTATACCTGCTGGATTGCCTATCATACTGTGTTGGCCTGAGTCCAAAGCTCATTTTGGTTTGAAGGAAGCGAATTTTGATTGATTTGAGGATGCAGATTGAAACAAGTCAACTCCTGTAGCTAGACTTTACTTTATCCATAATGCTTTCCTTCAACTTCATTTCTGTGATTGCACAGGAGACATTACCAATCAGAAGGATGTGGGGAAGGCCCTTCGTGGTGCAGATTGTGTCTTCCATTTAGCTTCCTACGGCATGTCTGGCAAAGAAATGCTTCAGTTTGGTCGTGTGGATGAGGTTAACATCAATGGAACCTGCCATGTCTTGGAATCTTGCCTTGACCAAGGAGTGAATAGGCTTGTTTATGTCAGTACTTACAATGTCGTTTTTGGGGGAAAAGAGATAGTGAATGGGAACGAAGCTTTGACTTACTTCCCTCTTGATGATCATGTTGATACATATGGCCGCTCCAAGTCAATTGCTGAGCAGTTAGTGCTGAAGTATAATGGTCGGTCCTTCAAGTAAGTACCAGAATCTTTAATGATCCAGTTGCACGGAACTCTTGTGTTGCGAATGTGATTTCATCTGTTTTTTATATGTGGTTTGCCAGGAAGATCAATAGTGGGCAGCTATATACTTGTGCTATTCGTCCAGCAGCAATCTATGGACCTGGAGAAGAGAGGCACCTTCCCAGGATAATGTCCCTTGCTAAGTTGGGTCTCATGCCTTTCAGAATTGGTGATCCGAATGTGAAAACAGATTGGGTGTACTGTGATAACCTTGTCCTTGCACTTATCCAAGCCAGCATGGGACTTCTAGATGACATTCCAGGCAGAAAAGGACGCCCAGTCGCCTCTGGCCAAGCTTACTTCATATGTGATGGTAACGTCTAGGAAGCATGTTTCTCTTAACGTTTTTTTTTTTTACTAACTGATCCAGCTGTGACAAATAATCAGCTTTTTCTTGCAGGTTCTCCAGTCAACAGTTTTGAATTCCTTCAACCTCTTCTAAAAAGTGTAGGTTATGACATACCGAAGGGATCTTTGCCTGTCTCTCAGGCTCTTACTATAGGCAAGGTTTTGGCAGCTGTCTATACAATCTTGTACCCATGGTTGAAGCATTGGTGGCTTCCTCAACCATTGATCCTTCCTGCTGAAGTTTACAAGGTCTGCTGAAAAAAGCCTTCAGACCTTAAGAACTTGGGTTTCATGTAATAATTGATACTTTCTTTACCTGAGAACTTAAGTTATATGTAACCTTTGGGCGTCTCTTATGATGTCAAAACAGGTTGGAGTGACACACTACTTCTCGTACCTGAAGGCCAAGGAAGAACTCGGGTATGTCCCTCTGGTGACCCCCCGGGAAGGGATGGCTGCAACGATTTCGTATTGGCAAAAGAAGAAAAGGGAAATGTTGGATGGACCGACAATATATGCATGGCTGTATTGTGTGATTGGAATGGGTATGGTCTTGTGTGCTGCTTTTCTGCCGGATGTCGGACCTGTGTCCCTGATGAAAGCTATTTGTCTCTTGTACATGAGGTCCATGTTCGTGATTAGGCTGGTAGCTGTGTTAGCTATTGCTGCACATCTGTTCGAGGCTATGTATGCATGGAAGCTGGCGAAGAAAGTAGATCCTGCCAATGCCAAGGGATGGTTTTGGCAGACTTTCGCTCTCGGGTTCTTCTCATTGCGTTTCCTACTGAAAAGAGCCCAGAACTAGTGTAGTTTTTCCTGGCAAATGTAATAAGATGAAAGTGTTGGAAAAAATTCTGCTTGTGTAATGATATGAAGTTCCGTTGTGAAAGAAATCGGCTTAAAAGGAATGGTCCTAAAAGGAAAGACCCTGATTCTCTACTGACGTCTCTGAACCACAAATATTTCCTGATTCAACATATTTGTTTACTTCTTGGATTGGAAAATAAAGGGAAAGGAATGGGGGAAAATTAAGGGAGTGGACATGAAGATATCATCATTATCCGCTTCCTCTGCCACTCCATCGGTGCTGAATCTACTGCCTAGCAGTAATCTCAGCTCAAGCTCGAATCTTCTTCGACTTCCTCCCCTCCTTTCTTTCCACCCCAATGTCAGCAGTAGCACAGGGAGAAAGCTAAGTCTCGTCCTCTGCTCCCGCGAGCAACCTTCAATGTAATCGGCGTTTCCTTCCATTCAGTGTGTGTATTTGCAGCTTGCCCTTTTCTCTTTTTATGTTCCCTCTGTTCTTTCTCATGGTATTCCAGTTTTTGGGCATAGATTGTGCGAGGGAGGCGAGTTGAGAGCTCGAGGTAGAAGAGAAAGTTTGGTTTTGGGCTTCATTTCAGCAGCTGCCACTCTCACTGCAGCTTCCAAATCCTCCCGTGCGGAGAATGGTAATCGCTTGCCTTGGCCCAACATTCAACAAGGCAACAACTTAATTCAGTTGCAATGAACTGTAAGCTTTAACGGGTGCCTGTTGTTCTTTTGGCGGTTTCAGAAGACTTCCGGGTTTACACAGACGAAGTCAACAAATTTCAGATATCAGTTCCACTGGGTACCCTTTCACTCTCTTTTGACCGATACATCCTAAAATGGTCTTACAGAATGGCAATTACTTAAATACGTTCGTATCGCCTCAAAAGCTAAAGGACTCGCACATTGCGTGCTGCGATCTGCGAATGCTGCTGACTCTTTGCATTTTTTTCCAGACTGGGAAGTGGGCACTGGAGAGCCCAGCGGCTTCAAATCCGTGACAGCGTTCTATCCACAACAAGCTTCTGCTGCTGCAAGTGGTAACTCTGAAATTCACATAATGTTGATGCCAATAAAAATTGAGCGTTTCTTTGCTGCGTCTGAATAATGTATTGATCTGTCGGAACAGTCAGCGTGGTGATCACAGGGGTGGGAGCTGATTTTACAAGAATCGAGTCATTTGGAAAGGTTGAAGAGTTCGCCGAGACATTAGTGAGTGGACTGGACAGAAGCTGGCAGAAGACTCCTGGTGTTGCAGCAAAATTGATTGACTGCAAATCTTCAAAGGGTAGGTAAATTCAAGCAGCCTGGATTTCATTTCTTTATGCATTGTTTCTAAAGTTTAGGAATGGACGTAGGGTTGTACTACATCGAGTATACGCTTCAAAACCCAGGCGAGAGTCGAAAGCATTTGTATACAGCACTTGGAATGGCTTCCAATGGCTGGTACAACAGACTCTACACCATCTCAGGCCAGTTCGTTGACGAAGAATCACAGGCTTACGGATCCAAAATCCAGAAGGTAGTACTCTCGTCTCGAATTCCTGTTAGATTGATGGCTTGGGTCCTTAGATTTCTTTTTAACTTCTGCATTCTTTCCTGGTATGTTTGCCATTTCCCAGGTGGTCTCATCCTTCAGATTCACCTGAAGGCCAAGAATGCGCACTCCTTGCTCCCTGCTTTCTTTTCCAGCTATCTATGATTATTATTCATAGCGCTATCAGCTGTCTGTTGACTATAAATACATCTCATTTGTGTTACGTTTGATACAACTGAACTGAGTAAGTTAACAGCGGCAAGCATAGCCTTCTCTAATTTTGTTACATCATCCAGTGGAGTGAACTATCTACTCTTCTTCTACCTTGTCAAAATACTTGAAACAAACTCAGGGAATTTTCTGATACTATGAAACATACATTAACTGACATAATCACCCTGTGTTCTCACTCCCTCCGCTGCTTGCTGACCACTTTTCCGGATTGCTCTTTCGTGCTTTAAGAGGTTCAACTGGTCATAAAACAGGATATCTCTCATTTGTTCCATCTGTTTCCACTCTTTTTCTATCTGTGAATCAACCTCCTCGAAGTGCACGATCTTCTCTTGGATCTGCTTCATCTGCAAAAGGATTACTCTCAGCAAACATATACAATTTCATTTTCACTTCAAGGAGTTTCGCAAGGTGGGGGGGGGGGGGGGGGGGGGGGGAAGTCTTTTACCTGTACCTCTGCAACTCTACGAATCTCTTCCTCAACTTCCTCAACATTTACCTTCTTCTCCTCCGGCTTTGGATTTACACCTGAATGAGCCTCTTCTACAGACTTGAGTACATCACTACCATTGGATGTAATACTGGCATCTGCATAGAGGCAAATACAAAATCATTACTTTTTCTTTCAACCCTCAAGTAACACAGAAAACGAACAGCATTTTGACACAATTAGTTCAATCCAAGACACACAACTATTGTCAAAAGGTTGCTTTTACACAATTCTATGGATATTCATGACATTGTCCTCATAATCCCCTCTTACCTTGCAATCCTTGAACCCCATGAAGACTTCTGATGTCAGCCTTGGGTTCTCCCTGTCCCATCTCAGACACTGCAGTTACAGCTGCTTGAGCAGCAGCTTCAGCAACCCCTGTGCCAGCCAAAGCCGATAGAAAAGCAGCCTGCCAAATGTTTTTGAATAATAAACATGAAATCCTACAGGATGGTAGACAAAAAAGAGTCGAGAAAAAGCAAGGGATGCAATTAGAATGTACCTGAGCCATTATTGGGTTGCTTGCATCTGCAAGAGGCGAAAGGCACAATCGTTTACTAGGGGAGGAGGAAGAGCTAATATTGTTATCATCTTTCATCTGGTTTAGCTTGTTGATACTGGATCCAAATTCTGCGGAAGAAGCAAACTGTTCCCCCATGGGAAGCTTAATGAAGTGGGTGATGCAGTCTTTGTCACTTCTACCACCAACATGCTGTGCAACCTTCTTCCAGTCATCACCATAGTGCATAACCGCTTCCAAAAGTTGCAGAGTCTCTTTCTCCGTCCAATCTGTTTTCATCTCATCGCTGATCTCGACCCGCTTGAAATCTGAAGAACTAAGTCCCACCCGATAATTCCCCCGCACAAAGCATCGTGCGCAAAGAGTTATGTCGTACTGGTTCAATACAATCAGGACCAAATTAGTTGAGCAATGCTCCAGACTAGCGATGGCGCAGAAAAGCTGCAGACGGGTTTCCCTTAATAGTATGGATTCCATTACAGTGAAAAGAGGAGGCGAGATTTACCTTGTCGGAAGCAAAGCAAGCTATGCTGCAGACGGACTTGCAGCTACCACAAAGCCGCTTTGAGGTTTCCCTGACGGGAGGAGTGGAGTCCAAGGAAGGCCCTGCCGGCGAATCGGCGGCGTGTTGGGAGGACTTGGAATCCTTGTCTTCCCACTTCAAAGGCTTGTTCAATGCAGCTGGGGAGTAATTGATGAGGCCCCATGCGTCGAGGAAATCGAAAACTTTGCGGATGGAGATGACGTCGGCGACGAGCGTCTTCCTGACTTCGGTGAAGGTGATCTTCGAGGAAGGATTCCGCCTGAATTGCTTGACGATGGAGTCACGGATGTACTTGTACGCCTTAGGGTTTCTCGAAGGGGACCGAGAATCGAAGAACTCCGGCAGACAACGAATCTCGCATTCGCTAATGTCGCCCAAGGAGAACCAGCCTGAAAAGAGAAAAGAAGCAAAAGGGAAAGGAACTAGACAATTATTCTCATGGCTGCGAAGGGAAGCGATGGGAGATGCTGAAGTTGCAGAGGGAGATTACATGAGTAGCTAGGGATGTGGAAGACTTCGGCGTCGGAGGGGATAGGTCGAGGAGTTGCGACTGAGGGGGTGGCGGGGGAGGAAGAGGAGGCGGTTGGAGCGACGGCGACGGACGCTGCGGCGGAGGGGGTGATAATTGTGGGGGAGGCCAGAGGGAGGAGGTTGGGCTTGGAGGACGGCGGTGTAACGGCGGCAGGAGGTTCTGTGGAAGCCATGGCTGTTAGATTGCGCTAATTTTTTTGGGGGCGGGCGAAGACTGAGGGGATGATGAAAGAATACTTCCAAAGAAAAGCCCAAAATGTTGAGGGGGATCCAAAGCTAAAGAAACTGGGCCACTGATGGACCACGGTCCTTTCATTTACACTCAGCCCAAAATACCATTGCCTTTGTTTTGTGGCCAATGCTACGGTACCGGTGACGCTGTTTTTGATTGGGTCACGTGGCGCTGATGTGGCAGTGACTGGTTTAATTAGCGCGACCCAAAGCCCATGAGTAACCAGAACTGAAACCAACCCGGCTCTCCCACACTAACAGAGACTCCCTCTCCGTCCAACTTAAACGCTTATTCATTTTTTTAGGGTTAATTGCAAGTTTGGTCATTGGATTTAACAAAAACGTTCATGTTTGGTCACTATAAATATTTAATTCTATTCATGGTCACTAAGATTAGTTCAATAGTTCAAGTTTGGTCACTCTCCGTTAACTTTTGCTGATGTGGCAGTCAATCTTTATAGTTGACCGTTAAATGAGTGACGTGGCTATTAAAAAAATAAAAAAATTTAAATGTTTACAATTTACACCTCATTTCTACAACTATTAAATAATAGGGCTAATACCACTACAACACCCGAACTATCGCGAAAATGCCATTTGTGTCCTATTGTTTTCAATATTCCATCTGTGTCCTGAACTATGATTCCGTTAGTGTTGACTTTTGTTGACCGTTAGTTTTTAACAGAAAATCTAGTCAGCACTGATGTGGCATCTGACGTGGAATTTTTAATATTAATTTTTTTCCATCTAATATTAATAAAATAAGAAAAATAAAATAATTAAAATATAAAATAAAATAAAAATCCTACCTAACACAGCCTTTCTTCCCCATCGCTCCTTCCTTTCTTCCCCAACACAGCCGACACGAACGTAGCAAGCTGAAGGGGTTTCGAGGATCTGGAGGCTGCGCCATCGATTGGAGCCAGTAGCTCGGCGGCACCATCGCTCCTTACTCTTCTTCCCCAATCCCAATCCGACTACTCTCTCTTCCCTAAGTAGCTTCATTCCTATCACTGCCCAGCCCTCCCAGCCCCAATTTTGGTAACCCTTCACCACTGGCGACCTACTTCTCTTCTCCAGATCGCCGATTTTCTTCTCCAGATTGACGATTCACTCCCTCTCCCCTAGCAACTCCCCTTCTCCCACCGCCTCCACTTACTCCCTCTCGCTGCTTCTCTGCTTCATCGAGCAACAATGGATTCCTCTCTCTCTCTCTCTCTCTCTCTCTCTCTCTCCCTCTCTCTCTCTCTCTCTCTCTCTCTCTCTCTCTCTCGACTTCCAATCTGGATGTCTCTGTAAATGGCGGACAGAGCAATTATAGGCACAAATCAACAACGCCAAGCTGCCTCCCCCATCTTAGCGGCGGCTATGTTGGATCCCAACCCCAAGCCACCCCACTACTACAACTTCCATCTTCTTCCTTTCTCTTTCTTAATCGAGCATGGGCGAGAGTAGGAAGATTAACCACCGCCTACGCAAATTCTCTCTAGATTCATCGCCAAAATCTTCAATCATTGAACATGAATCATGGGCTGAGAATCCCTCTGTCTCCGATGATTGGATTCAAAAGAATCGATTTGGATTCTGGCGATTACCCGATTTGGGATTTTGATTTTCAATTAACCCCATTCTCTGGGTTCCGGCCATAGTAGCGGCACGATGAAAGATTGGCGAGTTGGGTTATCTTTGATCTATTTTGCTCGCAGGTTGTTCAGTTGGGATTTACATGCCACCGGCGCATCTGAGCCGGATTGAGAGATTTTTCAGAGAGGGAGAGTGTGAATCGGTAGAGAAGAAGAGTTTTTTATTATTTTGTTTTAAAATTTTGGCTTAATAACATAATTGAATTTACATTTTTTTTTAATTTTAACTCATTTTTTATTTAATTGGAATTAAAAAATATTAGGTCAATGACGTGGCACCTATGTGGCAGCCTCTTTTTTTGCCACGTCAACAAAAGTCAACTTCGCGTTGACCACCGTTTGGTCAACCGTTATCTTTAACGGTCAACGAAATTGACAGGATACAAATGACACAAAGTATCATAGTTCAGGACACAGATGGAATATTGGAAACAATAGGACACAAGTGGCATTTTCGCGATAGTTCGGGTGTTGTAGTGGTATTAGCCCTAAAAAATAAGACTTAATTTCCTATTATTCCATAAACACCCAAACCTAACCTTTCTCCTCCTCATCACCTCCGCGGCCGGAAGCAAAACTACCAAAAATCCAATCCCGGAACCACACCAAATATCCTAATCACCCCTGATAATTCAACACACCACGATTACCCTTTTCACTGATGTTCCCTTCTTCAACAACCCTCGATGCTCGCTCATCGTCTTCTTATTCTGCTGCTGCGGTGGCGGCAGTTTCGTTGGAAGACTAGGAACAACAAGACACCCATGCAGAACAGTAGCGGTGGTGGGTTCGATTGAAACCCCTCAATTGAACAGGAGCAACAAGACACCCTTCTTTTTGAGGGCATGCTGCAACAAGCCAACCCCTCAATTGAAATTGGCGGCCGGCAGCCTCGCCAGGGACACAATCGTGATGGGACTGAATTTCAGCGAAATAGCCGGTTGGGAGAATTATGTCCAATCCCGAACGGGATGATGATGATCGCTCAAATCGGTAATCTCGTCCACAATTCTCAACCGAACTCCATTGTCGACTAAGCTTCTGGGGGACTTTTTGTCCATCCCCGGAAAATGGAAATTGACTGAACAGGGGTCTTCCAAACTCAACTGGAAAAAAGGAGGAAGCTGCCAAAGAGGGTTCTTAGGTGGAGATTGGTGGTGGTGGACAAAACCAAAGTGGAGGGCAATTAGTAGAAATTAGGATTTATATTTTAATGAATTTGTAATGAGGTGGAAATTTGATAGATTAAATTTTATTTTTTTATTATTTTATAATAGCCACGTCACTCATTTAAC